AAAATAAATAAAAATAAAAATAAAAATAAAAATAAAAATAAAAATAAAAATAAAAAAATAAAATAAATAAAAATAAATAAAAATAAAATAAAAAAACTAAAATGAGCCTTTCTCAGATTTGAAACATCCCCAAACTGTGATCTCTGGTGGAACAGACGCAGGAGAGGAAGGCTTTACTCATTCATAGCCCTCCGGCCGCTATTTGAGCGGCAGTTTCTATGGCAACCTGCGTGGACAGGGGGGACGAAACAGGAGACGCCAGGACAGGGAGGCATGCGGAACCACCGACAAAAAGGTCTGCTTTTTCAGCCTCATGCACCAGAAAGCAGAGGCCTGGAGGACCGGACTGGAGGTCCTGGACCGGACCGGACCGGACCGGACCAGACTGGACCGGACTGGACCGGACCGGATGGTTACCTGGCTCAGCTTACTGTTCTCCCGGGCCAGCTGGTACCTGGGATCGTCGGTGGTTATGGTGAACCTATCCTTGGTCTTCTCATAGCTAGCTCTGTAGTGCCTCTGCTCAGAACGTCAGAAAAGCAGTCAAAAACAAAACAAACCCGTTCCGCACCAGATATTTCTGCTCGGAAGGCTTTTTCGGGAGCAGAGGAAAGTTTAAACACAAAGTTAAAACGCAAAGTTTTATCGTTACACAGAAAGAAAACATTAAAAAAAACAGTCTGAACTATCTCAGTTTACCTCAGGGGGAGAGCATCCAAAAGGGAAGCAAAGAGACACAAATGGTTGACATTTGCAGGTAAATTTGAACAAACTGGAGTTGATAAAATATTGCATTGAGGTGATAAATGAAAGACTCACATCGTTGATGAGAGTGGAGGCATTCTTTGCAGCCTGGAAGAACGGGCTGTCGCACGTGTACTTGAAGTTTCCTCTGTTCTTCTCAAAGGAGGATTTGTACAGCCTCTGCAGGAAAAAACAGTCCAGATGTCACATGAGAGGCCCAGAAAATGAATCCTGTCCAATCCACTTTATCTAAATAGCTCAGTTTAAACAAACACAAGGTTTCCAAAATGCTGTCCTACAAAATAAAAGCACGCCAAATAGATAAAACAATAAAAACACAATAAAATTAAACTGATTAAATTAAATTAAATTAAATTAAATAAAAAAGCAAAACAAAACAGCAAAAAAAGCTAAATGAAATAAAAATTTAAAAAATACAATAAAATAAAATAAAGAAATAAAGTAAAACAAAATTAAATTAAATTAAAT